GTCCGTTATAGTAGTTTCTCCTTGTAGAGACAACAGATCTTTGGGACGTCAGACGGGGTTGAGACTTCACGGTGATGTACTTGAATCCGGTGAGGTACGTATATAAAAGGAAAACAGAAAAAAGGGAAAACTCCAATGGTACAGTATATCAATCACAGTGTAAATATTGGAATAGTGTAAATAGTCCTACTCACACTTTTTGGAGCTAAAATTTAGCTCCAATATATGCGCGTGAAGTGGAATGATCCCCACTCATGGATATGTAGAGTAGTGCTTTGATTGGAGAATTCTAGGTCCGTATTCGGTGTTCCAATCAGTTTAACCCAAAATTGAGAGAATAAAAGAATAGTGCTCTCTGTTTGTAATATAAAATGGTGGTATATAGAAAATTACTTACACAGTATGGGGCAGATTTGTACTGCTCAGTGTAGGCGCTTAGGTGGTATAATCCCCACCTCTGGATTCTTTCAATTCTTTGTAGATGTAGGTCAGGTGCAGGTATTTATAAAATAAAATAAAATAAATATAAAGAAAATGGCAATAAAATATTTTATGCCAAATAAAATTCTTTATTAGAAATAAATAAAATAAATACTAATAATATCTAGACGCGTTTCGCCTCAAAAGGCTTCTTCAAGTAGATAATTATAAAGGAAGGCACACCTGACATACAAGGGTTTATATAACATACAGTACTTCTATGGAAATTTGAAATTCCCGCCAGGATGACGTCATTGGAATATTGTATATTTTATGTTTGAGCAAAATAAGAGTTAAAAGGTATATTTATAAAATATAAGGAGGTATGATATAAATATAAAAAGCAGAAATAAAAACGAGCATTTAAAAGGCTTAAAACAGCATAAAACAAGCGATCACGTGACATGCGGATGTAACTACTTCCGCGTCACGTGATGCTTGGATGGAACGCATGCGTTTCAACCAAGTGGAACGCATGCGTCATTATCACGTGACGCGCGGCCGAGATTACTTCCGCGTCACGTGATAGTGGGATGGAACACATGCGTTCCAACTAAGTGGAACGCATGTGTAACAGAGTGGGAGGGAGCACCTCCCTGCATAAACAAGGAGAGGGAGGCACAAAACGGAGCAGAAGACTCCACACTAAAATATATATGGGCATAAATATAAAGTGCTCATATTGAGCATATATATTGTGAAGACATGTTAACACATGTAACCATATATAATCAGTCAGCACATATTGAGAATAATTAAATAAAGTAAAATATATAGATGCATAGTGAAAAGAAAAATTATTTTGAGGCTGATAATAAATTATTAATTGCAGTAGAATTTAAGCAAGATAAAAACATATAAGAAACATTGTAATAGAGACAGATAGTTGGAAATAATAAAAAAACAATAATAATAATAAAAAGTAATCAATAGAATAACAATGAATAAAATGAATGAATGTGGATAAAAATGGGTTTAAAAAGGGTGGTAATAAATATAAAAATCCAGATTGTATTATTCCAGAAAGTTAAAAATGTCAAAGTCAATGTTTAACCCTATAGGTACAAATTGTATGCCCATTCCATTTCTTTTTTACCTAATATTTTTTTAATATCTCCCCCTCTCCACGGAATGCTACAAGTATCAATTCCAATACATTTAAGGTATTTTGGATTTTTTTTCCATGTTGTAGGAAGTGTTTCGAAACTGAATGATTCTCATAGCCTTTTAGGATATTCCTACAGTGTTCAGCCAATCTTGTTTTGAGATCTCTAGTGGTCATGCCCACATATTGAAGACCACAAGGGCATTCTAGGAGATAAATTACATTTTTTGTGTTGCAATGAATAAAATGTTTTATTTGGTGTACTTTGTGTGTTACTGTTGATGTGAATGATGTCGTTTTTTGATTTAATAGTATCACTAGTCCGCTTACATACTATGCATCTGTTGCATTTAAAATAACCACTAGGTTTAGTTAAAAAGGTGGAGGGACTAGGGGATAAATTGCTCTGTTTTGTATAATTATTTGTAAGGATAGACTTAAAACTGGGTGCCCCTCTAAATATAACTTGTGGTTTCTCAGGGATAATCCCAGATAAAATCTCATCCTGTTTTAATATATGCCAATGTTTGTTTATAATTCTCTTCATAACATTGCTTTTGTTATTGAAGTCGAAAATAATTGGCACTACTGGGGCAATTTTAGTCTCTTTTTTATTTTTATATTCTAATAATTCAGATCTATTAGTAGCACTGATATTTTTTAATGTATTTTCTAGATTGCTTGTAGAGTAGTTTTTTTGAGCAAATTTATTAGACATCAATTTGGATTGTTCCTCAAAATCTTGCGTAAGGGAACAATTCCTGCGTAAACGAAGAAGTTGACTTTTGGGAATTCCTTGGAGCCAAGGTTTATGGTGGCAACTGGATACATCAATAACATTATTTGTACAAACTTCTTTAAAAAAAGTTTTGGTATGGATATGATTGTTGCTAATAAAAACTTCTAAATCTAAAAAGTGAATAGAAGATTTGCTATAGTCCCAGGTTAAAACAATACCTTTATCATTAGTATTGAGGTGTTGTAGGAATAAGTTCAGAGAGTTCTCAGGGCCATCCCAGATAAAAAAACAAATCATCTATGTATCTAAAATAGGTGACCAGGTTTGTCTGCCAGCCATGCCCTCCAAAAATGGCAGTGGATTCCCAGTCTGCCATAAAAAGGTTGGCATAGTTGGGTGCAAACCTGGTCCCCATGGCAGTGCCCTGTATTTGTAAATAAAAAGAGTCTAAAAACCAGAAAAAATTATTTTTTAAAATAATATTAATACCCTGAATGATAAAATCTATCTGATGGTCAGGGATGTTTTTCTCCGCTTTTAAAATATTTTCTACTGCTTGACAGCCTTGATCATGACGGATGATAGTATATAAAGATTGTACATCACAAGTTACTAAAATATATGTGTTTTTCCATGTAAAATTATTTAAAAACCGAAGTAAAGTCATAGAGTCTTTCAAGTATGACTTTGTACGTTTCACTGAGGGCTGTAAAAGAATGTCTAGGTATTCTGATAAATTAGATAAAATAGACTTGATCCCTGAGACAATAGGCCTCCCAGGAGGGTTTGTAATATTCTTATGAATTTTTGGTAGGAAATATATAACAGGGATGATAGGATGAGATATATTCAAATATTCAAATTCTTGTTTGGTTAAAATATTTTGTTCACGACCCTTAGTTAAAAAGGACGTTAAAACTTGTTGGATTTCAGATGTTGGGTCATGTGTTAATTTTTCATAGATTGTACAATCGTTTAGTTTAGTTGTCTCATAGCTTCTTTGATATACATGTCTTTAGTTAAAATAACAATACCTCCCCCTTTATCTGCAGATTTTATAACAATATTTTCATCTTTTTGTAGTTGTTGTAATTCTATACGTTCTGCTTGTGTGAGGTTATCTTGGTCATATTTGTTTTTCTGAATTTTCTCTAGGTCTTTAGTCACTAATTTTTCAAAAACTTCTAAAGGACCTGATTTAAAACTGGAAGGAAAAAAAGTCGAATTTTTCTTTAAAGAAGTGGAAATTACTTTTTGTGGTCCTATCGATGGGATAGCTGTAAATTGTGAATTAGAGATTTCTGCATCTTTGTGAGCAAAAAATCTTTTTAAAGTGGCTTTTCTAACGAACTTGTTAATATCTATAAAAGCTTTAAAAGGTTTAAAGGGATTTGTAGGAGCAAACTTTAGGCCTTTAGTTAGGACAGATATTTGGGTGGATGTTAGTACCTTTTGGGATAAATTAAAAATTCCAAGATCTTTTTCATTTTGTTTGATTAATGATTGTCTAACCTTTCTCTTTTGGAGTCTTCTACCACTTCTCCTTCCTCTAAATTTAAACTTCGTTTTTTGGTTTTTGTAGGGTGTGGCGTTAGTGCATATGCGTTGTTTTGTGTACTCAATTCTAAAAAATAATCATCGTTATCTGTTTCTGAATCCACAGATAACAGTTGATATCTGTTGTTGTGAACATAACTTGGGGGGGTTCTTTGTACTTCAAATTGTCTTTGTGCATACCTTGGTCTTTGGATTTTTGGTGTAATATTCCTTTCATTCTGGTATAGACCAGGGGAGTGATGAGTATTATTAGTGTGATTGATGGTATTGTGTATAACTGGGGGTGACTTGTGCTGATGATGGGGTAAGTGTCTTGGTTGAGTTTGGTAATTGTGATATTTACTGACAGCTTGTGACCGATTAGAGGGATAATTTCGTGATTTTAGGTGTGCTGCCTTCTCACCCATTCTGTGGCAGTTAAGCGCTGATTTTTCCTATTTTTATTTACATGAATTATTTGTGTAAGGTTGCCTGTGACTTGTGATGTAGGAATGATGCAGGAAGCAATCATGGTATCAATTACTATGAAAATCCGTCTAGCTCTAGAGAATGTCATGGTTCCTCAATGATCCCAATAGCTCATTCTGTGTCATTGTCATTTACTTAGTTTTTTGATTCCTGACTCTCATGATTTCCAGTATCGCTGATCTGTATTTTCTCATTGTTTAAGTTGATATCTGCTTTCCCTCAACCATGGCCTGTCTTGACTATTCTCTTGATCATTCCAAGGAATGGTTATGGACTTCTATCCATTTTTAAGTATCTGGACAGAGTGAGTTCCAGAACTGTATGTTGGGGTAATTATACGATAACAATTTGGAGGTCTATTGTATTGAGGGATACGTTGAGCTGTGAAGAATTGTTTTTCAAAATGGTCTCTAGTACGCTAAACGACCAGTTAATGTAAAACAATTATATGGAGGGGGCGGGGCCTGCCCGCCATGCTGACCGGTTGCACGGGGGAGAGGCTCCTGCAGAAATATGGCCTTCTTGACCGTTAATCTGGGCTAACAGCCTATAACTGAGCCGGAGAGAATCAGCAAGGTGCCGGAGCTGAAGCTGGCGCAACAGCAGACTCGGGAGTTTTGGAGCTTGTGGCCTCCACGTGAGAAAGGCGGGATGGACGGCGGCCACCCTGCCTGCTTGCTTATCGGCCCGCCACATGACAGCTCTGGGGCACACCTCACAGGCCCCTTCCCCCGCTTGGACCGGTTGGGATTCCCCCGATCCCCGCCGAAGCCTGCGGAGCGCACTCCGAAGCCCCGGACCTAAAATGGCTTATTTGTGACTCTCACGTTTATTTTGCATTTTTACTGCTCAGATTTAATCAGCGAACATATACAGTTTGCTATAAGCTTATTAGTTTAATCGAAATAGCCCTTTAGCTCGCCTGATTCATTTTGTTTTAGACAACACCTATTCAGTGACATAGCACCTCTGTCTGACTACTATGATTAGTAAATGTCTAATGTAATCTAAGATACCATAGAAACGGATGCATGCCTCTTCAACATTGCTAATCCTTCACTTAACTCGTAGACATACTTGAAATGCTGTATTCAATGCCTCATCCGAGCTAATATGCCATAGAAATGTATTTTAGACAGACTGAGCAAAAGTTAACATTGTATTGCTTATACATTTTACAAAAAAAAAAGAGTGCAGTACTATCTATTGCCACTGACATACTATGCGTACTTCTACACTTGCTCATGCTGTTTGTAACGAGAATATACCCCTACACGCAGGATCCAGCTAAACAGAGGCAAATACAGAGGAGAGATACGTCTACCGGACCTTAGAATGGCCGGACTTGACGTATATGAGAGAAGACAGAGCCAGGAACAAACCGAGGTCAAGGGCACAGAGAGACAGCGTAAACTAGGACAAGCCGGGGTCTGGTACACGGAAAACAGCAAGCCGGCAAACAGTACAGATAAGGATAAAGCGAAAACGAAGTCAGAATACGAAGCCAAAGTCAATACGAGAAAACACAACTGAACACCACAAGCGCTAAAGGGAACTGAAACAGAAACCACGATAGGGCAAGGAACAAAGGGAAGAAGGTGAGTATAAATACCTAAACATCTAATTTGATTGGTCCCTGTCACATCCACGCCCCCAAAAGGTAAGTGTATGGGGAGTGTGGCATGACAGGGACCAATGGGATGCCTTTTCCAATTTAGGCACCCACTGTCCCTTTAAGAGCGCGCCCGAGACTCGCGGCGCGCTCTTAGTTTCAGGCGGGACACGTGACCGCCTCACGCGGTCACTGCCCGCCCTCCATCCGAAGTAGTTGGATGAGCCGCGCGCGGCTCGTGCAGCCGCAGGACCGCGCGCGGCTTGAAGAGAGGACCGCGACCGGCCCCCGGTTAAGGTAAGTAATGCTACACTGTTGTGGCAAAAGTAGGAACGTTGTTATTCATGCACAACAAAAAAGAAAGAATAAAAAAACCAATTATATGACATCACTACTAAAGAGGTTGAAGTATGGTTTTCCTATTAAAGAAAATTGGAAAAAATGTGAAATGTCATATTCCTTAAACAATTAGATCTGATAAATTGTAACATATTTTCCAAAATAGACACAATTGTAAATATCTGAAATTCTGCTATTGTGTCATAAATTACAAATGTTTGTGGTCAACTTAACCACAACTTGATCTCTTCAGGGCTTTAGAATAAAAATATAGTACATTTAAAACCCAGAGAACCTATGAGGTCTGTCCAGAAAGTATCCAACCATGTAATTTGAAATATAGAGACATTTATTGAGGAAGATATAAGATACAAGAAACATTGTACATAGGACACAAGGCCTCAGTCCCGTTCAAAGCAGGCACCCTAGGACCTCACACAATTCACCCAGCGTCTCTCCCACTGTACAAAACATTCAGTAAAATCCTTTGTTGAAATCGCCATCACCTGCCTCATCATATTTACCTGAATCTCATCCACTGTCTCAAATCTCTTCCATTTCAAAGTTGATTTTAGTTTTAGGAAGAGCCAGAAGTCGCAGGGCTTCACATTTTTCAACATATTCTTGACCATCTTTGAAGAGTTTGTGATACACTTTTATTTGCACTGCACTTATTGCGTCATCCCTCAAAGCCTTTTGAATCATCTGTATAGTTTCTGTGGAGGAATGTTCAACCTCAATCCAAAATTAGCAGATTCGTTGCTCTACTCGCTCAGTCATTTTGATTGCGATGGCCACAAAGTACACATGCTCACTCAACGGCATCTTGCGCCACCACTGACTAGTACAGTGAAGTCATTGTTCACGTATGCACATTTCAGTCCACCCTTCTTGGCTGCCAAGCTACATTGACCTCGCTCAAACCGTTCTCATTATATTTACAATGGCTAGACGTTTTTTGGACAGACCTCGTATATTTGTAATTATTTTTTTTTCAAATTGCATGTATTATTATTATTTACAAACAAATGTATTATTGTTACAAAGTAAATGTGTAATTATTGACACCATCTTGGTAGTTGACAAGCAAGGTTTTAAAAAATAGCTGTGACTAGTGACATTGTGCCAAGACTTTGTCCAGGTTCAGTGCCTCAGAAACTACCCTAATGCTGCTAGCAGTGAAAAAAAGTCCTAAGGGACACATGGGACATCAGGACAGCAAGCCAGCGGGATCCGTAGGCCTGTTCGAATAGGGATCATTGGCAAGTGTGAATAATAATGGTCAAATGTACCCTGCTACTCCAGCTATTATAAATACTTATTATAGACAAGGTACAAATTTTGGAAACTCCAGCAGTTCACACATGACCGAATATTTAATTAAGACTCCACAAGACTCCAATGTGATACAGAATCTGAAAACTGTGAAAAAATCCCAGAATACTTCAGAAGTGCTAATGGCAAACTTAAAAATAATAGAAGGGCTATATTCAACTGTTGAGAGTTGAAATGCCAATTCATATTTATTTGAAGTCATAATACATGTTTACATCTGAGATATATTACTTTTCTGTATTGAAGTTTATGACATTTGTGGTTGGATTTTGCATTCTTTTGAGAAAAGGCTATTCAATTTTGCCCCCAAAATGCTACAAATTTATAGCTATTTTAACAATAATGTAAACTGGAAAATAGATTATTTTTGTAATTTTATTCGCCTCAAACCTGTCTCTAGAGAAAGAGACCATCACTATTTTACATTTTTATTTTCAATCTAATGCAATCTTATTAAAACTTAACAGGAACCACATTTGTGAGAATCTACAAGCAATAAACAAAATCCAGTTTATTATTTTGTATGACATCAAATGCAGCACCTTGCATTATAGCTCTATTCCCTCGTATGTCCTACTTCCGGGAAGTAGAAAATGACACACTTGCAGGAAGCATATAATCTGTATGATTTATAATAACCCTTCAGACTGCAGGCCTATATACCTTTCTCATGACAGGACCAGGCTTTAAAGATGAGAAATTCAAAACTTTTTCTGGTGTTTCCAATGCCTGAATGGGTTAAGGAATAATCACACTTGAGTTTTCCACTCATTTTTCTAATAATGCATACACAAGCACTTTGTGTTGTGTTGTCCACACTTGTCAAAAAGATAACGTATTTGAATAGTTCAGAAAGTTAAGCACTTTTTTTTTTTACAAACGTCAACAAAACATAAATTTTCTCATTACAGCTGTTTGTAGACCTTGCCATAGGCAATGAAGACAAAATCTCAGATTGAGAGATATATCATTACTTATGTCTAAAGGCAATTTTAAACAATATTGCCAATTTTCCTGCAGGCTTTAAAGCAGGTAGCCCACTGCTGTGTTTTTAAATGGTTGCATGGGTTATCAGGTACAGAGAGTTCCCCAGTAAGGGCCTGGGGCCAAACCACTGTTCTTAGCATTTTTATTTTATTTAATATTTTGTATACTTCAAAGGCATCATGGCAATTTAGTGATATTGTGTTTGTGGACCAACCAAGAATGATGTAAAGTAAATCCAATGGAACCTTTCTCTTCATATGAAAGTTTGACAAATACAAAATCTTTAAAGAACATAAAAGCATTAATTGGAAACACGTTTCAATGTGTAATGTTTCAAGTGATACTGTGGGCCCTGTATCTGCTTTATCTAATTAAACTGATTATAGTGTCTGGAGTCCCCTTGTGTTGTCCTTTCATTCAGTATTAAACAGTTTTTAATCTTTTTATATTTTTATGCTAAACTAAAGTCCCCAGCAGCCCATCCCCCTCTGTGCTGTTTGGACGGACCCATGAGGAAGTATTAGCCTGAACAGCATTGAACAGCTTTGATTGGCTAAGAATGTCAGCTGACCGTTTTTAGCCTATAAGAATGTCCATTGCCAGTATGAATGAGTATGGCTACAAGGAAGTGTGGGATTTATAGAGTTACATAGGCTGAAAAGAGCCAGTGTCCATAAAGTTCAACCTTCCTCACATGTTTTTTTTTGCTTTTTACCCAAAAGAAAGCAAATTTTTTGAAAAAGAACCAGTTTTAAGCACTTCACATTTTGCAACAAACTAGGAAAAAAATCCCTTCTTGACCCCAGAATGGCAGTCAGATTTATCCTTGGATCAACAAGTTATTACACTACAGTTGAAAAGTTATATCAGTTAATATTATGGTTTTGCAAGTATGCATCTAGTTGCTGTTTAATTAATATGTTATATATTTAATTTAAAGGAACACAACTTTGAAAATGTTAATTCCCCTATGTATGTGTCTTAAATGTAGTACATGTTTATTAAATATTCAATTAAACAATCATTTTTCACACATATCAGAAATACAGTAAGGAAAAGATTGCTTTGTGTTTGCAATGAACAAAGCTCTAAAACATGTAATGCATAGAACCTAATTGTTTATTCATTAACCAGAAATGGTGGTGATTTGAAAAGAAATGTAGCAACATTTTGGCCAAAACAGCATATTTGTTGAATATGTTGTAGGTTGTTAAATAAGCTCTGTCACTGTTTGCAGGCTTTAAATAGTTTGCAATAACCCCAGACAGCAACTTTTCTGACGGATGTCTGATGGCTGTGGGGGGCAGAGGAAGGTGAGTTATACTTACCTGAACCTGTCCTTGTCCCAATGTCAGGTTTAAAATCAGTATAAATACTTGACTTCTATATGAAGAATAGGATCTGGACATTAATTAAGCATCAAATGTAAACTTGGAGTTTGGCATACCAATGTTATTGTTCATCCCTCAATCCCCCAACCCATGGCAATTAAATGGTGAGGTGTATTTGTCTAATAAGTGGAGTGAAGAGG